ATTGTAGCTGCCCTCTCTACCGATGGCTATAGCGAGGCGACCGCTGACGGGCTGTGCCCAGCTCCCAAAGCCTCTGACAGTGTCCTACAGTCACCCTGGACACCCAGGGCAGCTCCCCTGGCCTCCCCTCCCCACAGCAGAGACATCGGGCACTAAGGATTTCTCCCACAGCTCCTTTGAGACAGTATCCTCAATATCCAACTGTGTGCATCAACCCCATGGTGATATTTATAAATATGTTAAAAGAGCAATCAATATTTAGAAGCTTTGCATGCCCTGGCTTGTCCTGCCGCCCATAGCAGCCCTCTCATTGCGTCGCACAACTCCTGGACAGCATTAACATAAGGGTCTGTTGCAGGAACCATCGTTTCCCTCTACAATCGTAGAGCACGACGGTGCCTCGGCCCCAAGTGACCCCAGCCCTGGGAAGCACAGGGATGGGATAAAAAAGCGGCAGCACGAGGGGCTGGGAGCTGCCTTCTCTCCAGGGAATTGCAAATGAGAGCATCCATCCACATCCAGCACTCCCAGAGTTTGACAGAAGCCTTCTTGCTCCTTTACGATCTAGGTGAGAAAGTCGAAAAAGGGAAGAAACTGCAGCTTCAGGCCTCAGTGGAGACATGAGCCTCAACACACGCCCGTTAAGGCAGTCGGTCTCAAAAAAGTAGTTAAAAATGGAGCAGTTTCAAGGAAGGCTGCACTTCGGATCACAGGCAAAGATGACGGCGATGGTCAGTGCACGTGGCATTCAACCTGTGAGCCAGCATCCTATTAAGCCTCATTGATTTTAATAAGTCAGGGATGCTTTTTCAAGCCATTCCCCTGCAATTTTAAGCAAGTGCATTTCAAAGGGGCTGGAGAAACAGGGAGTATGATCACCATTCAGTGCCAGATTACCCCCCAATGCGATAGCAAAAGGAGCAGCAGCCGCTGAACCCGCTGAAGCAGTGCGATCACCATCTCCTTCCCGACATCGGGAGCTGCTGGTCTCCCAGGTGCATCTCCTCGGAAGGAAAGCACAATGTGGTGCCACAGTGGCAGGGTCCTGCCGTGCCATCAGACCACGCAGCCGAGCCCTGCAGCATCCCACAGCATCCTGCAGCCCTGCCATGGGGTTTTCCAGCAACTCAGACCCCACTAGGTGCTGGCGGCCTTATTTTTAACATCCACCCCCTTACCCTGCACAGAATCTTTCAGGCTTGTCCAAAGGAACTAAAAGGCTTCTAAGCAGACCTGCTACCACCTCTTTGCTGACACACACCGAGCAGCTGCTTACAGGCATTATCCCCCCTGATGGGTTTTCTTCCTGCTCCTCCTGGGTTCTGCAACTCAGCCAAAACCTGGAGCTGCTTCCCCTGACAGCAAGAAATTCACTCCCGTAACAACTGACTGCCAAAAGGAAAGCCAAAATACATCTAAAAACTCCAACTTACATTAGAAATGATATCCTAGGCTGATGATACATAGATTTCCTATTGCAATACTACAATGCCACGTTCTGTGCTGAATTTCTAAAGAGCGACAATCACAAACTCTGCTGGAAACACTCTCAAGCTTTAACTCAAATAAATATCTTCTACAAAGAGGGAACAGGGCTTTTCTACTGTAGTCCTAGCAGAGTTAGGTAGCTTTGCCCAGCATTTTTTGTTTGGTTGGGTTTTTTTTTAAATTGAGTGATGCAGGACAGCTAGTCATTTTTAATTGCAACTGAATTAAGTATTTTCTACTCCTAAAAGGTATCAGATTTTCAAGACACAGGCCAAATTCAAAACTTCTGTTGTTTGTATTCAGGGCTTAAAACCCATGAGATAATACACATTAACCACCACTGCTGCTGCAGCAACGTCCACAGAGAGGGCGAGGACTCCACGTTGTGAGCACAGTATGCAACAGCCTGTCAAAGAACAAGACCAGAAGGGATGAAAGCAACAGAGAGACAGGGAAAAATAACGACGATGAGAAGACAAAATAAGACCCCAGCTGGTTCCTAACCAGCACTAGCTGCAGCTCCCAGCACAATCCAGGAGCAGCAGTTTGCACGTTGGGCGAGTGGAGGTTTCAGAGGAGTGACCCAGGGGATGAGCAGAGAGAGGACAGGGATCTCTCCATGCACAGGTCAGCTGGAGAATAGGTCTGCCAGGGGCAGGTGACTTTGCAGGAGTGACAGCAGGGCAAAGAGGTGTAGGTACCCCCAGGGCTTGCCGAGCCCACGCCTGACACAGGGCAGCTGGTGGGAGGCGAAGGGCAAAGAAGCCAGGGGTGGTTTTGGCAAACACCCCTTTGAGAAGGGAGGGAGGCAAAAGGCAAGAGCCCACGGGAGGGGAGAGAGGTGATGACATTTTTCCACATTCACTGTTGTTCCTTACGCTGGACCGTAAGCTTTGCGTCTGCCTATTTTGGTGTGTATTCGCAAAGTCCAAGCGGGGCCTGATCTGTGGCTCCATCCCCGCTGTGTTCCCGCAACACGAACACAACCGGACAGCTCTGGTGCAAGCCGTGTTGCTGACTGACACCAGGTCAGGAACATGGACACGTCCACCGCCAAGTCACAAACACAAGAGCACTATTGGGACGTCAAATGCACAGAAAAACAAGATTCACTTACATGCAAAACGAGTGGCTTACACAGACGTATGTGAAAAACCAAATGCTTTAATCCATCTATCAAGAACAACAGTTCAAATTATTTCATTGGATACATTAATATTGATCCATAATTTACAGTGCTATGGACCATACACAAATTATTGCTGCAGTCAACAGCAGATGAATATCAACATTACAGTACCAAGCATCATAGCAAGAGGCAGTAATTAATGTCACTTTTTCAAGAAATATAGGTATTTATACTATTATCAACATCAGCTTCCCCCCCAGTGCATTTTATGTCAAACAACATAAACGTAAGTGCATTATTTTGTGCTTTGTGCTTTCCTTACGTACCTTCTTTTTGCTTTTACAGGTTGTAAGAGTTAAAATATTGCTTTATAGGCCAAAAGCAGTAAGGAAGAACTTCACGGTACTCTGCACGTTCCTGCTTGTTGCACGGCTTTGGCAAAGTGAGAATTGGTAGCTATCCTCTCCACGCACTCAGGGAAGCCACCACCGGCCCAGTGTCACACAAGACACCATCATCAGACTGGGCAACAACTTCTGTCCTGTCCATCTCACTCCACCTAGTTCACGCCAAACCCTGCCTGTAATTGCTGTCTCTCTCCTCTGCCATCGAGCGCCTGTCAAACATCATGGCCACACGTTCCACGATGCTCAAACGGGCACAGACATCTCCAGTTAGCACCTGCCTGGAGGTCCATGTCTCCTAGCGATGTCCCCACTCCAGTGTCAACAAGCTTCCATTCAAAGAGTGGGCAAACTCAGAGGAGGGTTGTAGCCTAAGGAAACACAGGGTGAAGAGTAAGCAGGGCACAGCCGAGTTGTATGTTACCCCAGAGCAACACAATGTACACGGCACAACTGCTGGGGCCACAGCGACTTTTATCAAGAAATCCAGCTCTTGATACAGTGGTTTTCCTTGAATCCTAACTCATCTCCACAGCACATGTAGCCAAAAACCAGAAGTCGTGGCTGTCAGCGAGCACCAGTGGTTTCACGTAAGCTTGAAAAATACTTATATACCACAGTCTAGACCTCAATTTCTGAATGCCCAGCACGGGCAACAAACCAAAAGCCTTACTCAATACATTCAGTGGTTCTCAGTTACTACACTCAAGCGTGCACTCCCTGATTTTGTTGTACAATGCTGCAGAGCTGGCCCGTTTTAATGGGAAAGGGTAACACAGCCCTGTGTTATAGCTACAAGCATTTTACAGCCTCGATTTTCTTTACTTGTCACCATAGCCAAACAGCAGCGCCAGAAGCCTGTACCCACATACTCGACTTGGAGTTAACTACGGCACAGCTGCCTTGCAGGGAAAGGGAACATTTCCCTCCCCAAGGACCTCGCCAGCCGCGGTACATCCTGCAGGCTCCCGGGTCCTGCCCTGGGCCAGAGTTTCACTACCCTAGAAAGACACATTCCCAAAAGCTGTCTGGGGTGGGGGGGAGAGGCATCATTATAATCTAACTCCAGCTCCTCCTTCAAAAAATAAGAAAAAGAAAGAAAAAAAGCCACAACCTGGTGGTTGCATCAATGCTAACACATAGTTCGCTGCTCAAGCAGAAACAGAGATGCCCGGACGCAGCCAGCAACAGCCACAGAAAGAGCAACACGAACGTAGAGCCCGGAGTACCGTAACAGCAAGCTGCGTCCCCGCCGAGCCCCACGCCCCTCGCCATCAGCGACGGGAGGAGCGGTGCCAGGCAGGGGATGCTTCAAGAACCCTTCCATGGGGAAACGTTTGGGTGAAAGCTCAGCGAGCCACGCCGCAGGCTACGGAAACTCCTGACGTCGTCCCCAGCTGTCCCATCGCTACCCAATTCACATTTAATTTCTGAACGCTAATTGCCGCGACGGAGGTTTCCTTATAAAAGCCTGCCAAACTGGCACTCAAGTCACTAACCGTTTCATATATCCTATGTAATTTCCAGTGTAGCACAAAGGAGAACGGGAAGCTCTTGTTTTCTATATGTAGGCACCATGCTACACTTCAACGTCCTATAAAACATCACCCTAAAGCTCTCTCCTATGCCACACTTCAGTCAGTGCTAGTTGAGGAAGACTACAACTAGAGTTTAAGGCACTTCATTCTGAACGAGATACGCTTGCCTGCTGCTTGCGAGTCAGCTGTAGGCTGCTATTGAGAAATCCATTCAATCCGTCTAGGTCGTCACACCACATGTCACCTCTGTAAAACACCTAGGCTTGATATAATACAAGTATAACTACTGTTATTGCATAGGACTACACTTGAGTAGATAATGCACCGAACTACTTTTACAACATTGTTGCATGTTAAAAATTAATAACGTTGTTATCAAGTAACAGTTATTTGCAGATACAGTAATTTACTCTTTTTTTTGTTTGTTTGTTTTTTTTCCTTATGTCAGCCCCAGAGCTGAAAAAACACAAATTACTATAACGGGTATATTAACTACATAGTTATGTTTCCAAGCATATTACTAGTTTTTTCTGTATCACTAAAAATAAATATGTAAGTTCAGTTTCTCCACAGAGTTGTTTTATTACCTAATCTAAATTTGTACTCTACTCTTAAATGCGTTTAAAAACATTTTCAAAGTGAGACTGTAATATACAAAATATTCTCAAAATCTCTCTTAAAACACAGAACCCTGCATAAAAGCTTCCTTTCAAGTGTTTACAAAGAACGCAGAAAACTTCGAATGAGTTTTAAAAATGTCAAAAAATTGCTGCAATATTAAGAGGCAAAAATCTTACAAATGAAATACAAATATATTTAAAACAAAAGGTTGAGGATAACTGAGGAACCCATGCAAATCAAAATAAACTGTACAATGCAATTTAAAAAAAATAAAGCCAATTAGATATGTACAACATAATGTGCCCAGCTGATAAAATCTATCAATTTTTTTTTGTCCAAAAAGTGTAAACCAACTTACAGTTCTCCTGCTTGGTTTACTGTTGGCAAGTCATCAACGCGTGTTACAAAACAAAACAAAACTCTAAGAGAAAAAACTCGAACCATGATCAAAAGGAAAACCCAAATCAGCTCAGAGTAAAATTAAACAGCACTCTGAGAAAGAGACTCGCATCTCCCTGCAATTTTCAGCAACAGCATTTTGTATCACAATCAACACAATCAGGATGTCTTAACACTTTTTTGTTTGTTTGTTTGTATTCTGAGTGGAGTAGGGTGGGTATTTTTCCCTAAACACTTGTCATGTAAAGACTAACGTTTCAGGGACACTGTATCTTTAAGGCAGCACTATTCAATTAATACAATTACAAACTGGACTTTTTTTTTTTTTTGGTTTCTTTACATTCTTTAACTTTACATTTCGTTTCCAAGTAAATAGGTTGCATTTACAATTCTACGATTCCCCCCTCCCCCCCAGTAGAAACAGACTCTTCATTTGTAATTCTATTGCTTTGAGTAGATTTGACCAGTTCAAAGTTCTTGGCGAATCCAGTTCACAGATACTGTACATATGCTGTACAATATTTTGGAGGCATTGGTAGTTTTAAAATAGAATATACAAGTTTCTTCACAAAAATTCTAAAAAAAATCCTATATATATATAATATATACACACACGCACACACACTGGGCTACTGATGAAGCACAAAAAAAAGAAAAAAAATCAAAAAATTCTACAAAAGGTAAATTATTTAATCTACTAATCAAGAAACAAAGCAGTTTATGAAAGGTGTGCCAAGTATATGCTAACAAGCATGATCAGTGTCCTCCATGCTCACGCTGCTCCGCCTGCTACTCGTTTTCGATGCTCCAGGAGACACAGAGGAAAGTAGCGGGTCAGTTACTCCGACGGGGGAGAGGGTATCGTCCATCAAGATATCTTCCAGTTTGGAACCCATTTTTGCAGGAACACTGTAAGTGCCAGTTGGTTCAGTCACATTTCCGAGGTTGTCACTGAAGGTGATGGTACCATCAGTGAGATCAAGGGTGGTAGTGCAAGACAGGTCTGTGTGGTGCGGCATGATGTCTTGGTTGCAGTTGTCCAGCACAGGCTCTTGTTTGATGACCCTGTTGACCATATCAGGGGAGCAAAGGCCTGTAGATGGAACAAGGGACAGTCCGTGTGCCCGAGCTTGCATCTCAAGTTCCTGTGAAGGAAGATAAGAGACAAATTAAAAAAAAAAATAATCTGAAAGCAAAATCTGTCATCTTATGCTGTTGTGTACTGCAACTTACGATTTCTTTCTGTTGTACACAAACCGTTTCCTCCTTTTCCAGTAGCAACAAGTGCTTGCACCTTGCATATTTCTGCCCTGTAGGTTTTCACCTGAACATTACAGTCTCTTGAAGAGGTGGGTGAACACCACCCCACACAGGTCCCTCACACTTCTCCTCAGAACCTACACCAGAGCCAAAACCCAGCACACCCTGGACACATTTCCCCTCAGGCCTCTTCTCAAACCAGTGCCACGGTATGCAAGTTTAGCATCAGGTCAGGTGATAAAAGCATTTAAAATTTGAAAGAAAAAAAAGCAGAAGCATACACTTAGTACTTTTTAAAAAGTCACACTTGAAGGCATAGCATGGCTTTATGACACTTGTCATTTCCTGATGGAAGGGACATTTCTCGTTTTACAAGTCTCAAAGTTGGAAGTAAAGAGGTCAGTCAAAACTGAGCAACACTATTCCTGCACTGAAAAATTATAGGCAAGTCATAGGAAGGCTTTAGACTTCACACAAAGCCAGGATTCTCCGAATCTTCGTAAAAAGTTTAAATCCCACCTTCACATTTAATCATACAGATGCACTTGACTGAAGACTGATAATAGAAGAACTCACTTAAATCCCCTTTCTCAAATGCAGCAGTAAGAGAGACGTTTTGCTTGTACTTATGCATTATGTTAGGCAATCACAATCACTGTTGTGATTGTACAGTTTGCTGATATTCCTATCACTGAGGTTGATTAATAGCCTCTTTTCCTTTTTCAGCTAAGACAAGAAGCTCATAACGCCACACCACAAGATCAACGGAGAAGGTGGAACAAGGAAGCACTTCTTCCATCAGCTAACGTGCCAAAATCAGGAGTTCCTTATTCTGTGCTTAATCAGAATCAACACAAAAACAGAAAATACAGACTGTAGGTTATTTGCTGCCAGATGTATTGCCCATTATCCAACGGTCTGGTTTTTATGTTATTTTGATTGAAGGAGGAGCCAGAGCAGATGGATAATGCAAAGAAAGATGAAAGACACTTAAGAAGTGATCCGACTTAGCTCTGACACTGCTTGATGTTGCTCTGCAGAAGGGTTGCGTGTCTTTATTGTCTCACTCTAGCAAACAGATTGCTCAACAAAGTACAAAAACTGCGGTGAAGCTCATCCCGGTCTGTTCTATTATAAAGCTGTTTACTTCCACACTTGACTCTCAGGTATTTCTAGCTTCGTTATCTACTTTGTGGATTAGCCGTGCTGTGGTTCAGGGGTCTCCTGATGCAGCAGCCAGCCTGGCACACTGCAACCTGCATGCAGAGTTCAACTGTTCATGCTGCAGGTGAGCAGCAACATGAGAATATCTGCAACATCACTGCCTCCGTGTTATGTGTTCTTACACCTAATTCTAGATATACTTCTTTAATGACCCCTTTTATGGGGAGGGGTGGATATCCAGATATCTTTGCCCACCTGGTGAACAAGACTTGACAAGAAAAGCTGTGTAGGTTGCAATGCTAAGGTTTCCTATCCAGTCTGAGGTGAAGGCAAAGGAATTAATTAGAGAAACTGAGTTCCCACCTCTAAATCTCTGTGTAATATTGGCTATTGGGAACACGGGTAAATCTAACAAGGCAACAACCCAGAGAGAAAACATATTCATGCCATCTACTGCTCTTCAGTGTTGAAAAGGAGAACTGTTTTACAGTCCTACAGACTTCAAGGAAGAAGGAAGACAACCAACCATAGCTCCTCGGACAAAAAAAAAAAAAGAGGCAGCTCAACATCCATAGCTCTTGGCTGTCTTGCTGCAAAAACTCTCGGAGCCCTCACATTAGGTGTGCTTCTCTGCAACTGCTCTCAGACAAGCCAGGGCAGCCGCAACATTAAATGCAGCTGCCAGTCCCCAAGATACCTGCAGGGAACTCAAGATACAGTGCTGCAGTGTCTGACACCAATACTGCCCTCCCTGCCCATTTTGTCCTGTGAGCAGTGTTTACCCTCCACCAGAAAGCAGATTTCAGATTCCTGCAGAGCATCAAGGAGAGGCTGATCGAGAGAAGAAATAAGAGATCAGATGTAGAAGACTGCAATCTGCAGAGTTTCTCTGACAGACACGGCCTAGATTGGTCCCCACACAATTTAGAAAACCCACAAGCAAAACAAAAATATTTCATTTATTGCCATTCATCCCAAACCGCTTCAGAAAAGAAAACAAGCGCTAAAGGTACCAGTCAAAAAAACTCCACAAACGAGACAACTAAAGTGAACATACTCCCAAACAGCTCAACTGAATGTGATCACTATCAACAAATAGATGATATATGAAGTCCCAATTCCTTAGGTCTGGCACCCAGAAAAAAATATTACCATAGAAATCTTTTTATAGTATGATTTGCAACTTAAGGTTGGTCACGGTAGAAGTAGTAGTACTTTACTAGAGTGTTGGGATTTTACTTTTTTTTTTTTTTTCTGGAAAAATTTCTGCAGACATCTCAGCATTGGTCACCATGAATTAAAAAGGTGGTTCCTTCTAACCCACACTCCTACAAATAAGCTTCAGTTACCGTTATTTGCAGTCACACACTGCAACATCAAGAGCATTTGCAGCTTATTTATCAGCAAACCTGTATTCTGAGCAGCAGGTGCCTGTTGGCATGTTCCAGCTTCTTCTGTCTGTTCTCAAGCTCCTTTGTGCGTTGCTGTTCTCTTTGCAGCTTACGGATGTAGTCCACTGACGCTTTTAGAATAGTTCCTTTATTCCAGCGCATATCCCTTTGAAGTCAACACAAAAGGACAAGTTAAGGCTCTCGGGGAGGCTTTATTTTATAGTCATTACCTTCACATCAGCAGCTACGATTACACCTCATATATACCTAACACCTGGCTAATATTTATTCCAAGTTTACGAATACAGAATGCATTCGAAACGTGCTAGAAGTGCCACTATTGCGAAGCAGACTGCAGTCAGGCCCGGCCCAGGTGAAGGGCACAGAGCCCTGCAGCTGTCCAGGTTCCCCGCAGCCCCCCGGGGCCAACCCCCTGCCTTCTGACCAGTTTGGGACCAGTACTGTGCAGAGCGACTGAAGACCAGGGGGCTCCTTTCCTTGTCTTGCAGCCTTGCCGTAAGGCATCACCATCAACAAAATCCCACAAGACCCTTCTCAAACATCGCCTGGCTTGCTATCTGGGTGATGTCTGATTTCAGCTGGGGAATTAAAAGGACCAGATATAACCTGGTGCTGCTGTGGGAGAAAGAGCTGAGGCCCTTTAGCTCCCAAGGAGCAGCAAGCCATAGTCCTTCTGGTGACGCTGTATCTCAGCTGTGTTACAGTAGGAAGAGAAGAGCCCAACACAGCGGTACGTTCACGTGCTGTAAACTTCAACTCCAGACAAAATACAAATGCTACATGTCAGCCTAGGGGTGATGGTTCTTCAGTCAGGAGGTACATGGTTCCCATACTGCTTCTTCCACATTATTCCTCCCACTCTCACGTTAGAGAGAGAGCCTGCCTGCATCGTCTTCTCCCCCACATCATCTTTGTTTGTTTAAATAAAAAAAAAAAAGTTCACAGTAGACTATTGGACCAAAGATCCACCCATCCTGTAGGTTGATACTGTGCAATATTGTCTTGCTGGTCTCAGAGGAAGCTAAAGAGCCTCTCTGAAGAGTATCTATGAGCTGCTCCATGCACAACTGCCTAAAAATAATGGAAACTCTCCCCAAAAGCATCACGGGCCATTGGTTCAAATCTAAGGGAGACTTTCAAGCTCCAGAGCAAGGGGAGTTCCTTGCTATTGAATCAGCATTGGGAAAGTGTCAAGACAAGTTAGAAGCAGTAAAATTAACTAAAAGAACTACTAGGAAATTACCACAAACATGGGAAAATTATCAGTGAACAGACACACAGCTACACTCT